ACAGATGTTTGGGAGAATTTCCCTTTCAGATGGTCAAAGTCTGGCTTTACTTATTTGGGAATAAAAGTGTCCTCAGACTTGAGAGATCTGCAGAAATTAAATTTAGTCCCAATTTGTACTTCAGTCAAAAGAGACCTTGAGCGATGGCAGAATTTACCTCTTTCTCTGTTTGGTCGAATTAGTCTAATTAAGATGAATGTGCTCCCACGACTCTTATATCCTTTGCAAATGCTCCCTTTATATCTGACAAAGAAAATCAACTTAGACTTGGAGAAGGCATTTTCCAAATGTATCTGGCAAAAAGGGCAAAAAAGAAGAACTTTTATGAAACTGAGATGGAGGTACTTGTCAGCGAGGTTGGAGCAAACCAGAAAATATTGTTTGGTGCGTGAAATGTTGGGATAAGCAGCGAAAGAAAAAATACTGCAGACAAGATAACCACCGCAGTTATTTCTGTTGGTCAGAGGAGAGATCGCTGACAAAAATTTTAAGAAGTGGCTTGACGTTAAGCTCAGTGCCAAAAAACGCATCACAGCCCATAAAAGAGAAATGACTGCATCTGGAGGAGAACGAATTAATACAGAACGTCCACCCAGTGGATAACCCTGATCACTACAGATGACATGTTTAATAACCAAACAAAGTCCAGCTACAACATTTCCACACTCTGTAACACTCACCGATAAGCCAGCCGTCTTCAGCAGCTCCTGCTTGGAGACCCACAGAACTGTTCTGCTCAATGAATGAGTCGTGTGTTCCTCCAAGCCGCCGGGCAACAACGTTGAAAAGCCACAAATGCGCATCACAAATGATCAGTACGTTGACTGAATGAAACCCTTTTCTATTTACAAAATTAAGCTCGTCCAGTGATGCTGCTTTGATTGCGATGTGGGTGCAGTCTATGGCTCCACATATGTTTGGGAATCCAGCGACGGCATTAAGTCCCCGTTTGATTTGGGCTCATAGGTGATGGCTGTAAGGGAACTGGATGTAGGCTGGGGTCAGGGGAGTTATGGCATCCAACACTGCCGGCTTGATCCTGCTCAGTGGTGCCTGGAAATGCCTCATACGTCTCCAACCTCACGCTGGAATGTGCCGGTGGTCAAAATCCCCGAATACCTTCTATTTGTAGATTCACTGTTCTACCGCTAGATTATGTGCGTACGAATGGTCAGAGGTGTGCATATATTTTTACATTCCTAAGTATAAGTACAAGTTGATAAATTCCATACTTTGCGTAGGAATGTTCGTACGCACTGATGATAAATGAGGCCCCAGGACTTAATGCTCAATTCAGATTTTTTTGTGAAATCCAATTTTTTTGCGAGTTCGTTCACATTTCCAATTAAATGCAACTTGTATGTGATCTGCTGTGTGAACTTCATACGAGCCAAAAGTGTCCCGCATACGCAATGGAGCGTATCTTGCCCGCCACTCCCCCACCGCCACTGACGGTGGAAACGAAAGTGTGACCGTTAACTGAACTGGCGTCAGCAGTCTGTGTGCTCCGGCCACTTTCACCCTGTCCGAGCGCTCCTCCGGGGTGGAAGTGGCCAGAACGTGCACAAGCGTACCGGTCAATTAGGCGGGAAATCCAGCAATGTGTAGTGTTCTGACAATAGACTAGTTAAATATTAACAATAAATGAGCCTTCCAGCATCAAGCCCTCCTTCTATCTGGATCTCCGTCTTGACAATCCGACAGCCTTGCTATCCGACATCAAAGAAGGTTTACATTTAGTGTCAGATTTCTGAGTCACGGCTGCAATAGAATTCAGGTGTTCCAATCACTTCCAAGGCCACAGGTGTATAAAATCAAGCACCTAGGCACATTCGTGAAGGAATGAGTCATTCTCAGGAGCTCAGTGAATTCAAACACAGCACAAGAACAGTGACAGCTTCATGGAATGGGTTTCCACGGCTGCTTCCAAGTCTTACATCACCAAGTGCAATGCAAAAGATGCATTGGTGTAAAGCATGTCTGTGATGGAAAAAGATCTGTTCTGTTTTGTAGTTATCGCACCCTTGTGGGTTTTTTTTAGATTCATTTTGTTACCTGAGAAAAAGAGGAAGTGAGGTCATGCCCAATGATGTCACTTCCTGTCTCCAAGAGCTAGCCAGTGGCAGCCACACCTGTTTCATCTGTTGCCATCCACGCATTCACAGTTTAGA